AAAAGACAACAAAACACACAAAATCACAACATATTGACCCAAAATGACACCAAGACGACACAAAATGACCGCCAATTGAGAAATATAAACAAACAATGGCCACAAAAAGACCCCAGAAACACAAAAACCCCCAAAAGTACACAGTTATCATAAAAATGACAAAATAACCAATATTTACACAAAATAACAACAAAAAGATGTAAAAGTTCAACAAAATGACACAGAATGAACACAAGTTGAGACAAAATGACCAGAAAACCATTAAATGAACACAAAAAGATATAAAATGGTCAGAAAGCGACACAAACTGACACAAAATTACGACAAAAAGACAGAAAACAACCAAAAAAAACATGTAAAATGACCAGAAACAGTCACGATGTGCCAACAAAAAGACACAAAATGATCACAAAAACATTATACGACCACAAAAAGACACCGAAATTAACACAAAATGATGAAAAATTTACAAGAAAGGACACCAAACACACAAAATCACAACATGTTGACTCAAAACGACAACAAGATGACACGAAAAGACCCCAGAAATACACAAAAAAGACACAAAATATCAGAAAATAAACATAAAATGAGACAAAATGAGACAAAATGACCACAAAACCCATTTAATGACCACAAAGAGACACAAAATTGTCAGAAACTGACACAAAATGTATTTAGAAAGACACACAGTGACACAAAATTATCATTAAATGACATCAAATCACAACAAAAAGACACAAAATGACCAAATAAAACACAAGCAGCCCACAGAAACACACAACGTGACAACAAAAACACAGAAATGCAGAACGAGCCACACACACATCCAGCGTGTTTGTGTGTCTTTGTGATGCTGTTGTGTGTGTCTGTGTGTGTGTCTGTGACGCTGTTGTGTGTGTCTGTGTGTGTGTGTCTGTGACGCTGTTGTGTGTCTGTGACGCTGTTGTGTGTCTGTGATGCTGTTGTGTGTGTGTGTGTGATGCTGTTGTGTGTGTNAAAAAATAAAAATTATATATTTTTATTTATTTGTTTTATATTTTATATTTATTTTGTATTTAATTTCTCTGAGCCGTAATAAAACCACAACTTTTTTCATCCATTACGAACCAACAGCAGCTCGTATAAACGTCTCATTTCACATGTTTGTAGATTTTAAGCTGCTGATGACTTTAAAGCTGAAGAATTTGTTTTGTTCTTGTTTTAAATGAAAACTAAACGAAGAGTAAATGAACATTTGGTGGATTTTGTTCGTTCTGTCTCGTATAAACAGGACAGTTGTGTTTTCTCTCTGATTAAAGTGGATTTTTATTTTAATTTTTTGTGGTTTTCTTTCTCACCTTGAGCCTTTCAGCCACATTGGTCACGCTGACGCTGGCAAACCAGGGTCCAGAGGTTCCCTGGTAGTTCGGAGTCAGATCCAGAACCACAGAAATACCTGCACAGGTGAGAACAGTAGCTTCAGCACACCTGAGACGTTGGTGGACGTTTTACAGTTTGTGAGAAACTTCTTCTTCTTTTACTACATTTATAGCGAAAAATCAAACAGAAGTGAAACTAATTTTAAAAATCAAAAACTAAATTTGACTTTTTTTTTTCCAAACATTTTTATTTAGTTTACTGTTTTTTTGTCCGTAATCAAACAATGATCGAGACCAAACTGAAGATTTCTGTCTGTTTTTACAGTTTCTGGCTGATAAACAGATTTTTTTTCTTAGAGATAAGATGGTTTCAGAGCCACCAGCAGGTTTCAGGGTTCAAGGATTTTTATATTTTCCCAAATTTAGATGCAGAAAAATGACACAGAGGATGAAATCAGGAAATTAATGTTGAGAATCTAACGATATGTGAATAAAGTCTCGTCTGTAAAGTGACATTTTTAAACCAAAACACCACAAATACCAACAACAGAAAACCAGCTGCAGCTCTGAACAACACACACACAAAATAAATCAAATGTTTTACAGCTGAATCTTTGGACTTTTTAAACCTTATTTCATCTGTTTTCTCACCAAAAAGTGTCGTTGAAGCACTAATTAAACAGTAAACAAACGCTGGTTAAACTCGACCTGGTGATAGTTTTTTTTTCTCACCTTTCTTGTGAGCCGCTCTGATGAAGCTCTTGAACTGCTCCAAGTTTCCGGCATCGGCAGAAATCTCCTCAAACCTCAGACCCATGGCGTCGTCTGGAGGAGCGACGTGGATCGGACCCACGACCAGACCTCTGACCTTCAGCTGAGACAGAGCAGCGACCTTCTGCTCCAGACCTGAGAGAGCGTTGGAGAGTCTTCATATTGCTGTTGTTATGATTATTATGACTGTTATTGTTATTATTATTATTAGTAGGAGTAGTAATTGTGTTTATCATTGTTATATATGAGTAGTCGCAGTATTTGTCATATTTACAATTATCGTCATCATGAGGTATTTTGGATGGTGGATGGATGGATGATGGATGGGTGGGTGGGTGGATGGACGGGTGGGTGGATGGATGGATGGATGGATGGATGGATGGATGGATGGATGGATGATGGATGGATGGATGGATG